CGCAGTCCTTTTAAAAGGGCTGTGGTGAAATAATTTATTACATGGAACCTTAAAGCGGTCTGTTTTTATTTAAATTATTTGCTCTGAATTTACATTGAGCTCTCTGGATTTTATCCTCCTTAGGTTTACCCATACGGATTACCTAGTTTTTCATAAACTATATATATATATATATATATATATATATATATATTAAGAAATGGACAAAGTCCGACAATTTATTTATTAAAGACATTTTTTTTTATGTTTAACGTTCTTTTTTATAGATACAAGTATTTAAGTAAATGCTCTGTTTATAATAAACAGTATTAAATAACATTTACCGGCCTGAATGTCGAGAAATTTTCATAGAAAATATTCGTCCTTTGACAGGATTCGAACCTGCATCCTATACGGAACCGTCATTTACGCTGACGTGCCTTACCGACCAGCCACAAAGGGCGTTCGGTAGACAAGGTCGAATTTACTGCTTATAAACTTCAATCTTCCATGAATCTCGTACATTCATAACTGCTTTGGCGTATCAAATATAAATAAATGACGTCATATATTAAGAAATGGACAAAGTTCGACAATTTATTTATTAAAGACATTTTTTTGTGGCTGGTCGGTAAGGCACGTCAGCGTAAATTAATGGATTAATGGATAGCGGCTCGAATTGAATTCCAGTCGAGTTCATTATAATTACTTTCACTTATGTTCTAATATCGTAGTGAAAGGTATGAATTCTATATATATATATATATATATATATATATATATATATATATATATATATAATGACGCTACTCGTTTCGAGCACATCTATCTGCCAGTACAACTAGCCAAACTCCGTTGCAGATCCTGACTCAGTCACATTTCACATTCGACACACAGCCGTACTTTTTACTACAACTATGCTGAGCGGACATTAGTTACAGTTTCGGGGAGAAAGCGCATCACCTAGCATTATTGACGGTAGATAGACACTGGTCTTGTTTATGCAAGAATCTTGAATCTAGACATAGTTTTGATTTACACTAGAGTTGGGAAGACCGACATGACGGACAAAACAGGTAGCCTTTTTGGAAGAGGAATAGAGTCGGTGTATTTTTTGCACCTTTGCACCAGGGTGTAATAATGTGACGGAATCATAAATAGTTCTTCGGTCTGTAGACAGGAATAATGCTTCTCCTGTATCCACATATTTAATAAGCGTAGTTTAGCCTGGCTCAAAGCCATAATAATTTGGTTCAAAGTTCAAATTCTGTACAGCGGTAATGGCTAATGGAACGAAGTCTATATCTATGTATTCTTCCTACTTCAGTTTTGTTCTGGTCTTAATATTTTCCCAAGAGAATTGGAAGTTTCATTAAACGAATGAAAACAATTTTATTTTCTGCCATCAATGGAAACCTGGAAGAGAAAATAAGTATCAAAGTAATTCATTCGGTGGCGTAAGTTTAAAAAAAAGTTCCATCAGAAAACCAGTTTTTATTTTTTCAATAAATGTATTTAAATATATAACATTTTTTTCTATATTCAATAGAATGGCGGTTCAAAGTGAGGAATTTAAATATTTTTCTCTAAATTTCAAAATAATTTTTTTTCTCGACCCTTTTAATGTCTTCAAAAGTTGGACACTTTCCTTAGTTTCAAAGAATCTTTCCAATAAAAAAAATATTCTGAGTTCTTTTTATCAAACGTGAAGGTCGGAAAAGGGAAACTTTTACTATTAATGGAACCTTAACCAAAACAGAGTTTCTCTTGATATTCAATTAATTTGTTTATATTCGTTTTTGGCGCACATCAAATCATTCCCTATCGTAAACAATACATGGACAAAATAATATTTGTCAACGTAGATTGTGATGTTGAAAGTCAGAATTCATTGTGTATATGAGAAGGATTTACTGAAGAAAGAAAGAAAGAAAGAAAGAAAGAAAGAAAGAAAGAAAGAAGTGGGAAATAATTTTAAAAAAGAATGAAAGGAAGTCAGAAAAAAAACGAGAGAAAGATAGCAAGAGCAAGACAAATATGCATAGAGAGATAAAGAAATAAATCAAGACGAAGAAAGAAAGGAAGGAATAAAAAGAAAAAGAGAAAAACAAATAAAGAAATAAAACGAGACAAAGAAAGAAAGAAAGAAAGAAAGAAATGAAACAAGACTAAGAAAAAAGATAGATAGATAGATAGATAGATAGATACTCAGTACTTTAGAATAGACAGATGTGTTGGCAGCTTGGCCTCAAGTAATGGTCTGGTCACAAATGAAAAGAGATAGATAGATAGATAGATAGATAGATAGATAGATAAAAATAAAAACAAATAAAGAGCTAAAACAAGACAAAGAAAGAAATCAAAAGAAAAGAAACGAATAATAAATACTTTTAAAACAAAGAAAAACAAAAGAAAAAAGAAATAATTTAAAAAAGAAAAAAAGAAACAAAGAAATAAAAGTAAAAATACAAAATAAAATGTGAAAAAGATAGAAAGAGCATAAAAAAAGAAAGAAAAGAAAGAAAGAAAAGAAAGAAAGAAAAGAAACAAAACGCCAAAAGAAAAAAGGAGGAGAGAACTATAAAACAGAAAAAATAGAAAGAAAGAAAGAAAGAAAGAAAGAAAGAAAGAAAGCAATCTAGGAATGGCCGACGTCCAACACAGAACCTTCACTGTTTGACCAGACGGAGAAACTATAATAATAAACTGTAATTTTTAAAGTAAAAATATCAGTGAAATATGTTGGAAAGTTTCCATGTTTTCATCAGAAATCAAGAAAATAGCATATTTAAGCAAAACGGCCATAATAGATGGGAAAATGATGTCCGTTTAAACTGATGCCAAGAACGCTGGAACTGGCACCTTTTTCGCCATATATCTAAACTGTAATTATCATATTGTCCCACTCTTCGCTAGCTCCTTCGTTCGTCCGACCATTACGCCTCATAAATAATGGACTATTATGTTTTGATCGCGTAGAAAGACACAACGCATATAAGAGACGCTACTTGGTTTCAGTTTAATAAAGTAAGTAAGAAAGAAAGAAAGATAAAAGCGTTTAACGTCTCTTGCTAATACCTCATAATTTATGGACTATTCCTTTTTTATCGCTTGGGAAGATCAAAGACATATAAGAGACGCTACTTGGTTTCAGTGGAAAAAAATAAATATGAAAGAAGGATAGATAGATAGATAGATAGATAGATAGATAGATAGATAGATAGATAGATAGATAGATAGTAGCGTTTGACGTCGCCTGCTAAAACCTTATAAATAATAGACTATTCCGTTTTGATCGCGTGGAAAACAAAAGCCATATCAGATACGATTTGATTTCAGTGAAAAAAAAAAGATTTAAAGAATGAAAGGAAAATAGATCGAAGGTTTTAACGCCCATAACCTTCTAAATAATGGGCTATACCGTTTTGATCGCATGAGAAGAGAAAATACATACCAAAATGCTACTTGGTTTCAGTAAGAAAATAAAAGAAAGAAGGAAATATAGAAATGTTTAATGTCTGCTTCAGGGAAGTGGAAAAGGTTTTCAATTTCAAACGTTTTCATTTGGACCCCCTTACTTCTTTCCGCGTATAAGGCGACATTTAAATCATAAAATTACCCACCAAATTACGAGGTCGTCTAATACAACATTTACAAAAAGCTGTATGCTGTATCGGCACTGGTAAAAAATTCACAGTAAGTCTATAATAAATTAAAACCTTTGTTTGCGCCAGGGATCGCAATAATACTTTTAACAACTACCTCGGTAAGATTACTACCGACGTAAATAGCGTTTCTGGCGACAAAGTTGAATAATTTAAAAACAAATCACATTGTAAAATGACTGTAATTGTATATTTTAAATGTAAGAATAAAAAAAAACTATTTTTATTTTTTTGATGGCACAGTGGATAATGGCGTTAATTTAAAGATCCAGTGGCAGAACCCAAAGAATATGAGTTAAATACTTGGTTAAGGCAAAGATGAGGAGAACGAATAATTTTGGAGAGGGAATTATGGCGGAGATAACTGATTTAACATGGCACGTGGAACTAGAACAGTCTAATAAATAGTGAGCGGAATAAAGGGTTCCGAATAATTTCGACAATCCAACGTCGTAATAAATATGGCGACCTGAAGAAGGTCGAATAATTTAAATAGGAGCGTAAAAAAAAAAAGCCGAAGCGTCGTAATAAATATGGCGACAAAGATGAGGACAATTGTCCGAATAATTTAAAAACAGAATGCCACAGTAATAAAATGGCGACAAAGAAAATTGTCCGATTACAGAATAAAAAAGCCGAAGCGTCGTAATAAATATGGCGACAAAGATGAGGACAATTGTCCGAATAATTTAAATAGTGCACAGAATAAAAAAAGCCGAAGCGTCGTAATAAATATGGCGACAAAGATGAGGACAATTGTCCGAATAATTTAAATAGAATAAAAAAAGAAGCGTCGTAATAAATATGGCGACAAAGATGAGGACAATTGTCCGAATAATTTAAATAGTGCACAGAATAAAAAAAGCCGAAGCGTCGTAATAAATATGGCGACAAAGATGAGGACAATTGTCCGAATAATTTAAATAGTGCACAGAATAAAAAAAGCCGAAGCGTCGTAATAAATATGGCGACAAAGATGAGGGACAATAAATTTCAGAATAATTAAATAAAAAAAAAAAGATGAGGACAATTGTCGAATAATTTAAATAGTCGAATAAAAAAAAGCGTCGTAATAAATATGGCGACAAAGATGAGGACAATTGTCCGAATAATTTAAATAGTGTACAGAAAACGTAAGATACCTGCATGCACAATAAAAAAAAAAAGCAACAAAATCACTATCTGATGCAAAGAGCTCATCATCGTTTCGTCATGTGGTCTTTATTTGCATTCATTCATTCTTTTCTTCTTTAAAAACTATAGACAGAACCTCTTGCTAGATATCTTTCCTTCTATCTTTATTTATTTATTTCAAATATTTACCAGTAATTTTATTTTGTCCTTTTTTATTTCATAATGTTTCTTTTTCTTTCTTTCTTTCATTCTTTCTTTCTTTCGTTCTTTCTTTTACCAATTTTTTTCTTTCTTTTATGCCTTTACCAGCATTTTCATACTTTTAACATCACGTAATTCTTTCTTCCTTTATTTATTTCTTTCGCCATCACGACCGCCATTTTTTCTTTCTTGCTCGTTTTCTTTTGCCACCATATCATTACTTCTTTCTTTATCTTTTCTGTTCGTTTTCTTTATATTTCTTTCTTTCTTCATTTATTGATTTAAATACTGTTAGCACCTCAGGTGGCACCATATGCCAATATCTCTTTCTTTCGTCCATATCTTTCCTTTATTTGTTCTTTACTTTCATTCTTTCTTTTTCTTTCTTTCCTTCATTAAACAGCGTAGGCACCATCTCTTGCTCAATATATTTCTTTCTTTCTTTCTTTCTTTCTTTCTTTCTTTCTGTCTTTTTTATTTATTTATTACTTACATTTATCGGCATCACTTTCTGTCATTCGTTCTTTTTTCTTTCCTAGCTTTTTTCTTTCTTTCTCCGGTTTTTCTTTCTGTCTTTCTTTCTTTTATACCTTGACGACCACATCACTTTTTTATACTTTCTTTTTCTTTTTTATTTGCCGCCACCACCACCTCAGCTTCTTTCTGTCTGTCTGTCTTTCTTCATTTCTTTCTTTTTCATTCATTCATATATTCTTACTTTTTACCTCTACTTTTTTCTTTCTTTCATACTATTAACGAGGCCATGTTCTTTCTTTCTTTCTTTCCTTTTTGATTTCTTTATTTCTTTCTTTATTTTCTTCCCGAATTCCTACTTTTCTTTTGTCTTTATTATTTCTTTCATAATTTTACCACCACCACCACATCATTCATACTTTATTTATTTATTACATTTACCAACAGATTGTTCTTTCTTTCTTTCTTTCTTTCTTTTTTTCTTTCTTTCTTTCTAACCGTATGTTCTATATTACATTTTCTTCAGAGTCTGTCTATATTTCTGAGATGAAGTATTATGTACATTATTTACATTATTCGGACTATCCCAGTGAGCGAAATAAAGAGTTCAGTTCGACATCCCAACCGCCTGAAGAAGGCCGGAGCGTACAACGGCCGAAACGTTGTAATAAATATGGCGACAAAGATGAGGACAATAGTGAAAATAATGTAAATAATGACATTTTCTTCTACCGCATTTCTTTCTTTCCTACCGCAGTCCTTCTTTCTTTTCTTGTTTTCTGGTTTCCTTCCTTCTTTCCTTCCTTTCAATAATTTTAATTCCAATCAAAATTTGCTTACGCCTTCGTTTTCATATCTTTGTGTTTAATCCTCTTTGGCTAACATTTTATTTTCCATTTCAAATAAATTTGCTTCTGTTTATTTATATTTTCATTAAATTGTTTTTCTTGTGGAGGCTTATAGTTGAGTAAGCTTCCTTTCTATACTGTTTCAGTTTTCATTTTAAGTTACTTTGCACTGTTTATTTATTTTGTTTGTTTTATCTTTCTGGGTCCACAACTATATTTTGAATTTTACGCGTTTGTGATTCTATTTCACCATGCCCCCTTAAGTCCTGTAATTCGACCAAACAAATCCATCTTTTATTTAGAGTTGAAAGAATACAGTGAAACCCGGATATAAGAGAGTTGTCGGGACCGGAGAAGAAATCTCTTATATCCGGGTTTGGTCTATTTTATATACATTAACACAGGCTCTAATTTGGGACCAGAGAAAATCTCTCTTATATCCGGGTTTCTCTTATATCCGGGTCTCTTATATCCGGGTTACACTGTACATGATTTTTTTTTAAAATAAAATCAACAGATTTATTGAAACATCTTATTATGAGTAAATTATCTCTTTTGTTTTTCTTACATTAGGATGATTTTTTTACAGTAAGTTTCGTCTTGTACAAGGCCTGGGGGGCCACTTGATATAGAGTATTACTCTAAGGGGTAGTTTATACGGATATGAGTGGGAGATAACGGTTATCTCTAGACTGGAACAGGTTAAGATCGGGGAAACATCCTCTTTGGGGTCGGTTCCACAGAGAAATGGTTCGCGAAAAGTTGTTCAAGTAGAACTTACTTCTCGCCGATGGAATACGAAGGGAATGTTGGTATTTTGCTACAATTCCTAAAGGTGAAGGTTAGACCTGGCGAGACCAAGGAATGTAGTTCGTCCGAGCACTTTCCATGGGAGTAGCGATAGAACAGTGAAAAGCTCACCACATCCCGTTGAAGGGTAAAAAATAAGACGCTTTTGAATTTTATCAAGACTGGAAAGTGAGGACTGAGCAGCTCCCGCCCAAATATGGCAACAATCCTCCATTTTCGGCTTGATCTGGCTCTTTTAAAGGTAGAGGAGTCATGAGGAGTCAGGTACTTACTGGAGTGGTCCGAACATTTTACCTGCATCATTAGCGATGGATCGTATGTACGAGGTCCACTTGAGGCCAAGTGTGAGTTAGAGGCCCACTATTCTCTCAAAGAACAGTGCCTCCCAATAGGATATTCGTTCATCATGACTAGCGGGGAGATCGAGTGATGGAATTTAAATGCAAAATTCTCCAACATTCGGGTGCACATCGTTTATTCAAACGCGCTTAATAGTCTCCAACGTTGACCCTTTCATGTAGATGTCAAATCACTTCCTTTATATCGAACATATAATTATCCGTAAAGAAATATTTCACGATAAATCTAAATCCGACAGCAAGGCCTCTGATCGGGAGATTGAAGGTTTTGAGGGGCACGGAACCACCTCTAATTTGCTTTTGTTCCCAGGTTCACCCAGGGTAGTAGTACCTGTTAAGGTCCGAGTTATAGGCAAATAATGAACCCCCAAGCCAAGATCAAAGCACTAAAAAGTATAAAAATACATTTCTATAGTAAAAATACCAGCAATACATTTTTATAAAAATAATTACCCACAATACTTTTTTATAGTGAAATTACGAGAAATATATTTTTTTAAATTGCCAACAATACATTTTAAAAGTAAAATTACCAACAAAAATAGCAAAATGGCGAATCTATGGTAAAATGTATTGTTGGTAATTTTATTTATTTATAGCAAAATTAGCAACAATCATTCATTCATCTCTTCAGCGCATTTTGAACCGCTGTGGTTATCATTCTCCTCTATTTCTGTTGTAATTGGGCTTCCTGGTGACATTCAAGGCAAAATAGTCAATGGCTTGCTGGTTCCTTTTGCACCGGCGATATTGAGGTTACCCTGTCCCACCGCACAGAAGTTCCTCCATCTACTGGTAAAGCCGTTGACCTCTTAGGTGCAGCTACTAAGCGCAGTTTGGCCGCTTAGCACAGGTGGGTTGAAAAGAGGCGTTCTCCTTCACCGGTCCGATCAGGAAATCCTTCCGACTCACCTCACACAGTTTAGTTGGTAGGTTGATGCCGTTGACTGGCGTGTGACCGTCGCAGTACTTATGCGACTTCTTGGAGCCATGTGTGAGAATTGGACCAGTACAGTTCCGCATCCTAATTCACCTGAGTAAAGCAGGGTCGACTGCTTTGCTGCAAAGGTACTACCATTGACGATACACTTCATTCACCCCACCAATAATACATTTAATAATAAAATTATAAGCAATACATTTTTATTGCTAAATTAATGACATGACATACATTATCAATTTTTAAAAAATGCGGAAATATTTATTAACCAATAAACTTGAGATTAATAAATCTACTTTGGGGGAATTCTGGAGCTAATCATTTTATTATATTACTAGACTCTCAGTGAACCTTTGATCAGGCTGTTTGTTCGTTCGTTTGTTATACAAAAAAAACTGAAATTCTCACAATTAATTACATTTTTCGCATATTTATTCGAGTATATATTACAAAAATGCAAAGCGATATTGACGCGTAAAAGGCAAACATACAGGCTAAGTTTGTTTACGAGCGTCTTCAGTTTCCCTTGCCTATTTCATGCGCCTGACTACAAAATATTTTGTAGGAAGTTGTGCGCAAAGAATCTTTGTAATTCATTTCTTTCAATTTGAAAGAAAAAATATACTCAAATAACAAAAAATTATTGAAATTTGTAGAGCCGTGTTTGAAGATTAACTTGATTCTTCGTTTATACACACATATACCGCTACATATGTGTGTGTGTGTGTGTGTGTGTGTGTGTGTGTGTGTGTGTGTGTGTGTGTGTGTGTGTGTGTTCTCTTCCCAGAGCATAATAGTCAATTCTATGGAGAAAGAAAAAGATGTAAAAGCCAAATTTCCTATTTTTCTTTTAAATTTGAGATCCGTCCATTTAAATGATTCGATTGTATTTTTACAGAAATGCATTAAAGCATTTTCTGCATTTTATTTCAGTGTCATCTATTTTGCAGCATGGTCTCCTTTCGTTTTCATTAAAGAGCAACTAGACACTTTTGCATCGGTAATCAGTTAAAAATGGCTGTTGACAACAAAACACGTTAAGTCTCAAGTTAACATCGGCAGAGTCGTGCGCATGTGCAGCTACGTCTTTTGTTTTGGAACTTTTTGGTTTTGTTTTTTAGTTTGGTTTTAATTTTGTTGTTTTGGGTTTTTTTTTTTCAATCTCCAAATAAAGAAACTCGTGACTAAATAGAGTTTCATTATGGAGAAATGGATGAAAAGCCTATTTCACAGATTTTACTGAATGCTCCACAACTATGGCATTGTGCCTGACTAAGTTAAACTTAGTAAATACCAAAATAAAGATTCTATCGGAAATAAAAATGCAAAATTTCATGCGGTTATCTTTAACTTTATTCGAGGTGGCAACTATTTTGGGAAGTAGGAATGCGAACCTGTGATGTATAGCTATATATTGATGTAAGATATGTCTGGTGGTGTTCCTTATTTCTTATATAATAAAATAAAATTGCATTACATTTTGAACTCCCTTTTTATATATATATATATATATATATATATATATATATATATATTTGCCTTGATAAAGTCCACCTGAGGACGAAACCTGTAAAAGAAAAGTTTTTCTTCTGTCTATATATATATATATATATATATATATATATATATATATATATATATATATATTAATTTAAAGAAAAAACAGACCACTTTAAGGTTCCATTGTTATAATTTATTTCACCAGAGATTTTATTTTCAGACTTCACTTTCAAGGGTGAAAAATAAATTTAAAATTTACACTTTTGAAGGACAGTATTAAGCTTATATAAGGTGACATAGAGGGTGGTGAGGGAAAATGGTTGACAGAATAGGAATTAGGAGTGATAGCAAAAATACTAAATTTACTAAGAGCTACTAAGGACAGAAAATTGTGGAGAGTCGTGATCACCAACATATAAGAAAAAGAAGCCTGTGAAAAATACTGTCTAGCCTAAAAGTGTGTATAAAACAGATGTGTAAATGTAGAGAAATTGTGCAGTATGTGAAGTTGAAAGTCATCTTGGCTTGATGAACGCTTATGGAGAGCAAACTTTGGATGTGAGCACAGTTCGACCGTGGTTATTGTGATTCTATAGCGTCAATCCACAAGGTTCGAAGACAAATGGTCCTCGCTCGGACGTACATGCTCCCTTCTCTTGGATAATCCAAAATTAATTCCCTCTATTTATTTCTACAGAAGCTGAAATAGTTACAATACCACGATAACACCATTGGATAGAAGAAATTTTAACACTTTCGTCACCATTGTTGGTTGTGCTTTTTTTGTCAATGATGAAGAAAAGTCTTCATGCTGTGCTACTTTTTCACACACACATCATTGTTGCAACTTATATATTATTCACTGCCTAGCTATTCCTATTGTTTGGTTTCCACAAATGTTTCCACGTAGAGGAATTCAATGATACGCCCCTGTTTCGCACTCACTTTCATGTCAAACAACATTGTAACTCACTGCCACTCAGCTGTTTTCTGTAACAAATCAAAATTTATTATTGGTCGGACGTTTCAACCTTTATTGTATACCACCATCATTTGTCTCGTGAGTCGTCGTGATCCAACAGAAGAAAATATGAGTTATTTCTTTCAAAGAACCATTGTATCTATATATGCACGCGTGGCCATATATGATGTGATGGTACAAGAAAACATAGTGGCATCATTTTAAATTGGAATTTTAAAATTTAAAATTGACATTGACATTTGCCTAAGGTTTGTTTTTGGTTTTCAAGATTTAAGATTTCCGTTGTTTGCAGGATTCAAAACACGGCTCTTGCGGTGGCTCACAAGAGCTTGATATGGCCAAAAGTTATAATCACAGAATAAAGAGAATGAGAAAAATCTGAAGATAAAAGACTCGTCTTGAAAAACACATTTATCCGCGGATTTCAACGGTAGAAACACGCCCAGCTAATAATTACGAGCTTTCCTATAATTATACGAAATTTAATATCTTCAGCTTTGTTCAACTACTGATTATGTCAGATTACACGTCTCTCACAGAAAGTGCAAGATGCGCTTAGCATTCCTCTTCTTTGATGTGTCGTGGCCCTTCAGGTCATGTACAATCATGGTTCCCAACAACAAGTGGATTCCGCAAAACGAGTTCGAATTTCAACCGAGTTTGTTACATTAAGACGGATTATATATAAGGGTGTTTCATTAAGAGGGATCGAAGTCAACAGTAGATAAATCAGTGTTATTGGTGAAAATTTATTTATTTCTCAATTGGATTATGTTATTTACGTCATGGCAATTATGTGTGAAAAATAATATCGCCCAAATATCCGCCAAATCTGAAATAAAACGAAAAAAATCATTAGACGCTTAAACTTTTCACAAAATCGGCCCAAGTTATTGGAACCCCCTTTACTTTCACACAATTTCCCTTTAGAAAGGCATGAATCCATCACGTCTCTCCTGAGCTATGTGTCAAATACCATGATGGACTCGACTCTGAAAACTTAATTCCAGTAAAGGGAAACTGTGGAGACAAACTATTGGGAAACTGTCGATGGATCTGCTAAGACAAGTCATCATGGCCGAGGATTTGAGCGTACTGGCTTACAGCCACATCCTGTTTAAACAACGGTTCCCGTACAATCACCAAAGTTAAGCAACACCTAGCCTGGTCAGTACCTAGATGGGTGACCACTTTCTGTATGCGCGGGTGGTGTAATGGATAATGACACGGAATTGTTAACTGGAGAGCCGAGTTCCAATTCCCGTTGGGTTCGTTATATTCACTTACGCGCAAATACCCACCTCTTCTCCCCCAGCTATAGGTTAATTAGTAAGACTTGTATCACTAAATCATTATCTTTTAAAAAATTCTTACAATCTAAAAATAACCTTCTGGCTTTAAATAACCTGCAAAGGGTTGATAAGCCGTAAAAAAACGAATCCATCAAGCGTACTGGTCTTGTTCAATTAATCTTCACGCCAGATTATACGCTGTCTCTCCAGCATTCTTCTTTTCTTCCTCTGCCTATAGCTTTGGCACTTGATTGACACTTTTTAGTTCATTTTTATTCTTTCTTCATAAACGTATGTTAGCCTCATTCAACTCATATTCTCTAACTGCAGCTTTGTTTCCTATTCTTTCTGCTAATTCTATTACTTTTTTTTTTATTAGGAAAAGCGCGATGGTAATTTTCAACATTATTTTAGCCTTTTACTTTCAATTTTATTCTTAACGCCAAGGTCGACAAAATGTTTTCGTAATTATTTTTTCGTTTTTTTTTTTTTGCGGGCGGGCGGGGGGGGACAAAATTTATAGATGCGTATTATACATAGAGATAGATATATTTCTTAATTTTTGGATCATTTTTGGGGGTGCGTATTATTCATAGGTTCGCATTATTTTTAAGAAATTGTGTATATAGTGGATAGATAACTATTGATCATAGACGTGTAGAGGCTAGGAAAGCATCTACGCGGGAGTCTGTTGCACAAAGTAACAGTTCTTGAGAATAAGAATCCTGAGTGGAACATCCTTCTTGTCTATGGAATATGGAATTAATGAGGGTGATTCAACCCTGTTTGATGTAGCAAGGTGAGTCTTGTTTGTAAAATTTGAGCTGGTGGCACGAAAGTATGGAAATCGTCGGAAGATTTTCCATGGAAATAGAGACAGCAACGATGGGATTGCGACATCGTATGGTGGAAGATAATTCTTCATCTACAAGGCCCTGTAAACATCATCTACAAGGCGCTGTAAACATCATCTACAAGGCCCCTGTAAACATCATTTACAAGGCCCTGTAAACATCATCTACAAGGCCCTGTAAACATCATCTACAAGGCCCTGTAAACATCATCTACAAGGCCCTGTAAACGCTTTTGAAATCTATCAAGTCTTTAAAGTTAGGATTAGGCAACTCCAACCCAAATAGGACAACAATACTCCATCTTTTGTCTAATTTGATTCTTGTAAAGATAAAAGATGGTAGAAGGAATCGGATACTTCCTGGAGCGGTACTGTCGGATAAAAATATCGTTCTTCAGAAGGACGCTGAGAATAGTAAGAACTGAAGATGTGAACAACGGTGAAGTTTTAGAAAAAATTGGAAATAAAATGGACACTTATACTTAACATCAGGAAGAAACAGTTAAAATTTCTAGGGTACACAATGAGAAAAGAGGGCTTGGAAAATTTTATACTCACAGAACTGATTTCCAGCCCTCAAGCATTACCCATCCAGTGAGCATGAATAAATGGATGGCGGGACAAAATTTAGTAGAGATACGAAAAAGAGAAAATTAATAAAGTACCGGATGTTGTGGAGAGACATGAACGCCAACGTCCTAAAGAGACACGGCACATAGAAAAAGAAGGAAATTTATCATATTGAGTGATTGTTTTATTTTCTACAGCTTATCAACCCGTTGAACGTTCTTTTAAAACCAGAAAATATTTTTAGATTTTAAGAATATTTTGGAGTTAATAATGATTTAAGGATACAAGTCCTACTAATTAACCCATAGTTGAGGGGTGCATTCTCATATTTCCCAAGAGTATTTTACCTAAGTGAATATAACGAATCCGAGTGGAATTGGAACTCGGGTCTCCGATTTTCAATTGCAAGTTGTTATCTATAGCACTTGGTATTCACAAGCAATTACTCATCTAGGTACTGACCAGATTTGATTTTGCTTAACCACGGTCATCAGACGAGAACCTGGGTTTCAACGTGATATGGCTGTTAGACTAACATGATATAAAAATGGTTTAAGATAGTTCGGTTGATTTTAGAATTTGTCAGGCCTTGCCGGAATATTTAATGTCGAAATTGCTTATTTATATTTCATAATTGAATATCTACTTGAAGTTAGGTAGGTAGGTAAGCAGGCAGGCATCCATTTATCTCGCGAGATAACGGGAGACGACTTTCTTGTTTAAACACTGTCCTTTTGAAAACAGCGTTTGGAGTAGCTTAACAGACCGATCTTTGCATGGCACTCACTTTTGCAGGTGTGACAGATGAAGCTAGATGTAGAATGGAGATTTGACATTAATCTGTCTGCTTTCTTACTTGTCTTCTTATTTCCAACAGTTGATTTTAACTACTCCTTGAAAAACATGGCGACAGCCGCTGCGATCGTCTGCTAGCTGTTCCCATATACCAGATTAGGTTTCTATGCGTTTCCGGTTGCTCTTGCAAACGTCATTTAAACGTAGTGTAGGATGTCCTACCGGATGACATCATGACATCATTTAAGGGTTAGCTAAATATTATTCGTTTATATTCGAGTCTATATGCATTTACTTGGTCTTGGAATAGGTAAATATTAGTTGTATATATTTAAATTTATAGGCATTTACATGGTCTAGGAAAAGGTAAATATTAGTTGTGTATATTTAAATTTATAGTCATTAACATGGTCTAGGAAAAGGTAAATATTAGTTGTGTATATTTAAATTTATAGGCATTTACATGGTCTAGGAAAAGGTAATTATTAGTTGTATATATTTAAATTTATAGGCATTTACATGGTCTAGGAAAAGGTAAATATTAGTTGTGTATATTTAAATTTATAGGCATTTACATGGTCTAGGAAAAGGTAATTATTAGTTGTATATATTTAAATTTATAGGCATTTACATGGTCTAGGAAAAGGTAATTATTACTTGTGTATATTTAAGTTTATCGGCCCCTATTTTCCGTGTGTGTTTAGGATTTATGACGACTGAGGATAACAACTGATATTGCATTTAAATTTTTGAAGATCAATGTTGGCTTGAAAGCAAAAAGCTGAAATGGAATTCCACATACGGGAGAAAAAAAAACTGTTCGTATATTTTACAGTATATTTAAGTATAACTACCTATATCTACCTCTACCAACATTCGGAGGAGATAGAGAGAGAGAGAGAGAATGAAAGCAAAGAGAGAGAAGTAAAGAAAGTAAAGAAAGAAAGGAAGAGAGCAGATGCATATTTTTGGCCTGTTCAAAGGCCTCCTATAAGAAATAATGATTTTGATGTTTACATTTTATTTGTTATCATCGGCATTTGGAAACAATCGGTGGAAGAAGTTTCCTTAAATGGAATCTGTCATCTATTTGTGGATGTCAACTGGAGGGTAAGCAGGATTTGTGTCGAAAATGCGAAATGAAACAGTCACGATAAGGATGATTTGAAGTGGTCGGAGGCGGTGACATTGGGCTTAGAAAGAAAGAAAGAAAGAAAGAAAGAAAGAAAGAAAGAAAGGTAAATTCTAATATTCGGTCCAGCGAAAACTGTGTGTCAAAAGGACGGTTTTTCTCTTGACACCGCCATTAATGTACGCTCCCTCAACTTCATTAACCAAGCGATGTTTAGAATTTTAATAACAAAAATGTTACACACTATTATCTTTTTCTTTTTGTTGGTATTTCTCGGTTTCTTAACATTATTCAATCAAGCTTTCTTTTTTATTCAATCATTCTTTCATTTATTCTTACATTCAATCATTTTCAATCATTTTTCTCTTCATTTCTTTCCTTTTCAATCATACAAATCCGGTATTATTTATAAAAGTAAAAAAAAAAGAAATCCGATATTAATTTTAAAAATTGAAATAGAAATCATATATTAATTATAAAGATTAAAACATAAATTCTGTATTAATTATAAAATTTGAAATAAAAATATAATAAATAATAAAAATTAAAATAGAAATCCAGTATTAAATTGAAAAAAAATAGGTTATTAATTATAAAAGTTTAAAAGAAATCCGGTATTAATTATAAAAATTGAAATAAAAATAGGTTATTAATTATAAAAGTTAAAAAAGAAATCCGGTATTAATTATAAAAATTGAAATAAAAATTGGTTATTAATTATAAAAGTTAAAAAAGAAATCCGGTATTAATTATAAAAATTGAAATAAAAATAGGTTATTAATTATAAAAGTTAAAAAAGAAATCCGGTATTAATTATAAAAATTGAAATAAAAATAGATTGTTAATTATGAAATTTAAAAAGAAATCCGGTATTAATTATAAAATTGAAATAAAGATAGGTTATTAATTATAAAATTTAAAAAAGAAATCCGGTATTAATTATAAAAATTAAAGTAGAAATCCGGTATTAACTATAACTCACCAGACATGTAAGATTTTGAAGTTCCTCTCAGATCGATGCATTTGGTCGATTCGGAACTTGAAAGGTTATTCCTTATGAATGAGATGTCGTCTCTATTAATGTGCTTATATGTTACTGTGAGGTCGAGAAAGTAGGTATACAATTTCCTATTAGAGAGATATGAACACTTCTGGAACTGTTTGATGACTTATATGACATTATAACACTCCTTGCCAGAACTAAAACCCAACTGACTTATGAAGAGTTGACTTTCATAAAACGATGAAGCCCTAGTTAATATGATATTCATTAATGATATCCACATAATAGATCCAATTCAGATACCTCTCTATGTGAGTAGGTCTTGAGAGCTTCCTTTTGTTTACATACTGCATTAATATGTGTAAATGCCAAATTTTTAATGGCAAAATTAATAAAATTGAGAAACTATTTTCAAAAGTTCAGCCTCAATGTCAAGTGATGCTTTGTTATTCCTTACTTTCTTATATGTCCCGGAAATGGATATCCTTGTTCGAAATAGCAAAGTGGTTTTGGACTACTGTAACCGAGTAGGACAATCTAGCAGGTAACCGTAATGGACTGGTCCTCGTCGTAGTGGTAAGCAATAGGCGTAGACAATAGGCGAAGACAATAGGTGTCGTCAATAGGCGTCCTCTATGTACCTCCACATCAGTCTGTATTTATGGCTGACACCAGCCAATCATATTACTGTGAGGGGGAATCCAGGTGTATGCATAATCATTATTTCTAATAACTTTCTTAATTACTGTCTATGTTTCCAGATGTAATTTGTAATGATTGAATGTATATTGGTATATTTTCTATTTCTGCGGGAATCTTTAATTTAGAACGGAAACGATTTTAATGCCTCCAAAACCAAACTGCTCTCTTTTAATCGGTCTTTGAGAAATTCTTTGCCTTCCCCCAACATGTCTGATGCTAACTTCCAAGAGATTGACTCATTGCGCCTTCTCGAGCTAACGTTTTCCGCTGATATGAAGTGAAAATATTATATTGCGAGGAATGTTGGTTCACTGTGTCATACTAGACAATTTTTCTCATCTGTATGTCATCTTACACATTTATAACTCTACCATTTGTCCATGCATTGAATATTGTTGCCTAATTTGATCTAGTGCTTGTAGTATGTATTAAGATATTCTTGAAAAATCCAAAGAATCTGTGTTGTTATCGATCCTGAATTGGTATCTCGGTTTCAGTAACTTTCCCACCGCCGCTACGTAGCTCCCTGTGTCTTTTCTATAAATACTTTCATGGTAATTGTGTTGGTGAATTCTCCTTTATGTTGTTATTTTATTCCGCAGCCCTACAGACAAATTGTACATATTGTACTAGTTAGGACTTCATAGAGACCTAGTGGCATTATGGTGACTGTAGTAAGAATGGCAAGTAAGAATGCCTTGTTTTGCTGTAAGGAATACTGTGTTATATTTAGGTCAGTCATCCTGTCTAGCTAAGTTTAAGATAAAACAGAATGAAGACCAACCTTCCCCTACCCACCTTTCGGCCTTGTACCACATTTTTATATTACTCAAAATAAATATTACTTTCCTCTTTGGTACCTAGAATTTACGACATTAAGCGCAGTACTCAATTGGCAGATAGGGCTAGATGGGACCGTGAGTTCTACACTAACAGTTTCTTCTCTCGCACTTCTCGCTTGTGGAACTCTCTTCTGGCTGCTTCTTTTCCAGCCCACTTTGATCTTTAAAATTTCAAATACAACGTCAATCGCTATCTTATCTTGGTAGCTTTATTTGTTGGGAGGTGGATGATTTTTAAAGACTTAAAGCAATGGAGATGTCGTTCTGCCAAAGGATGCTAAGCATTAAATTAATGAGAAAGTTTTTTAGATTGTAATAATTTGGGGGAAGATAATAATGATTTACTGATACGAATCTTACTAATTAACCCATAGCTGGGGAGAAGAGGTACAATCATACCTTTCCCAATAGTACTTGGACATAAGTGAATATTTCGAATCCGACTAGAATTGGAACTTTACACGCAAATAAAATTGGGAAAGGTATGAATCCACCTCTTCCCTCCCTGCTATGGGTTAATTAGTAAAACTTGTATCACTAAAACATTATTATTTCCAGAAACATTTCTTAGAATTTTAAGAAATCATATTTCTCTCTTTAAATAATTTGCAGAAAATATTATTAGATTCTAAGAATTTTTTAATGATAATACTGATTTACTGATACAATCCTACTAATTAACCCATATCCGAGGAGAGGAAAATGGATTGATACATTTCCCTAGTGTATTTGCATGTAAGTAAATATAAAGAACCCGACTGGAATTGGAACTATTGCTTCCCCTCCTGTTCTGGGTCCAGAAAAGAAAACACTTGTTCGAACACAAGAAAAATTAAATAAAAACTTAATCGCAATAACTTGTCTGTCGTCTTTAATGAAACATGTATAAATGAAGGATTGCTGCCTAAATACACCATATATATATATATGGAAAATACTGTTAACTATTTGTGGGCATAATATCGGTTGTTGCTAGCTGATTTATGTTGATTTTATTAAACAAATAAGTTCTTATCAAAAGACATTATTTCAAGGTGGTAAAATCACTATTTTGGCGAACATAAGCCAAACTTTATGGTGATATATTTCGATTTTTATCATTGTCCCACCGGCGACAATAACAAGCTTATTTTATTAAACGGAGGGTTGTAATATCTCGCGGTGAACCCATCAGCAAATCTAATCTACCGTATGGCACCTCAATACATTTGGAGCTGCGGTAATTAATCATTGTCTGTACCTCTTCGGGCAGGTTGGCTTCTAGTTTCTCTCGAGAAAATTAGGTTCAGGGAGCAAGCTGACGAAAGAAAAATTAATCTATCGTGTTTTACCTCCAGTGTTCTCTTGCAGCCGGTTTGGAAAAGCATGCCTTCTCTACGTGGAATAGACGTATAAAATACGTGAAAAGACCTTCCAGATCATCGTTTGCGAAGTGAGACCGTAATAAGGGCATAGTTTTCCCTAAAACAACTTGGATTTAGACACTAATGGCTTTTCTCTAGTCTCTGTTTGAAAACATTCTGTTCCTTAACGTACTCAACAAAATTATTCAATGTCTTCACGATTCGGTTGTTTGTAAAAAATGTCAACGCTTCATCCATGCTTAGAATATTCCTGCTACATATGATCCGGTGCTCCTGCTATTTACTTTGAGCTCCTTGATAAAATCCAAAAGAAGAACCAGCAATATTATTGGTCATGATCTGACAGCTCGGCTTCAATCACTTTTCCGCCGCCGTGTCTTTTGTCTTTTCTATAAATACTTTCATGGTATTTGTTCAGATGAGCTCTTTGCTATGAATTTGCTTATTTATATTATTATATTTGAGTATCTACTTAGTTTAAGGTTGCTAGACAGGTTTCTTCATCCGCTCTGTCCCACGTTGTGCATGATTGATCACAGTGAAATGAAGACCTAATTTTCGTCTGCCCTTTAAGCGCTGAATGAATACTTTGATTCTGAAGTAGGTAATTATTGGTCATTATATTTGAGTTTATATGAATACATTGCTTCTGGAATAGGTAATTATTGTTTGTTTATATTTGTTACACTATGCATTTATTCATATCAGGAATGGGTAGATATTAGTCATTAATATTTGAGATTATATGAGATTACATATTAGTATTATATACGCTAAACAAATAGGAATTATAGCGACAGAAGATAACGATTGACATTGCATTTAAATTTTTGAAGATCAATGTTGACTGGAAAGCAAAAGGTTGGGATAGAATTCAACACACGAGAAGTCCGAGGGAATAAACTGTTACTATATTTTATATATGTGTATAACTACCTTTACCGAAATACGGAGACAGAGAGAGAGAGAGAGAGAAAGAGAGAGAGAGAATGAAAGCAATGAGAGAGAAGTAAAGAGAGTAAGGAAAGACGGGAGGAGAGCAGATGCATATTTTTGGCCTGTTCAAAAGCCTCCTATAAGAAATAATGATTTTGATGTTCAGATTTTGTTATCATCGGCATTTAGAAACAATCGGTGGAAGAAGTTTCCTTAAATGAAATCTGTCATCTATTTGTGGATGTCAACTGGAGGGTAAGCAGGATTTGTGTCGAAAATGCGAAATGAAACAGTCACGATAAGGATGATTTGAAGGTGGGTTTGAAGTGGTCGGAGGCGGTGACATTGGGCTTAGAAAGAAAGAAAGAAAGAAAGAAAGAAAGAAAGAAAGAAAGAAAGAAAGAAAGAAAGGTAAATTCTAATATTCGGTCCAGCGAAAACTGTGTGTCAAAAGGACGGTTTTTCTCTTGACACCGCCATTAATGTACGCTCCCTCAACTTCATTAACCAAGCGATGTTTAGAATTTTAATAACAAAAATGTTACACACTATTATCTTTTTCTTTTTGTTGGTATTTCCTAGTTTTTTAACATTATTCATTCACTCATTCTTTTTATTCAATCATTCTTTCAGTCACTCTTACATTCAATTTTTCGTTCAGTGCTTATTTCGTTCAGTGAATCTTTCACACAATCTTTCTTTCAATCATTTTTTTCTTTCTTTTTTTCAATCACAGAAATCCGTTATTATTTATAAAAAGTAAAATAGAAATCCGGTATTATTTTAAAAATTATAATATAAATTCGGTATTAATTATAAAAAAGTAAATATAAATTCGGTATTAATTGTCAAAATTTAAATAAAAATAGCTTATTTATTATAAAAATTAAAATAGAAATCCCTTGTTAATTATAAATGTGACACTGAGGCTGGGAGGTGGTCAAAAATTAATTCTAAGCAGAAAATATATTAAGCCCAAAATCAAATATAAACTGAAAGAGAGAGATAGAAATAGAGAATGAAAGACATTTTCCCTTAGTAATGTGGAAGTGAAGAGATGGCCATCTGGGTTGTCTCACTCTAACGAATTGAAATGATGCACTACGAGTTTACTTTTTTTATCTATTGAAAATCTGGCATGCGGGTAAAGCAAATTGTGAAATGGCTTTATCTCTTTCTTGGAAAATTAGAAAAACACATGTCATTGGTGAAGAGACGCAGACAGGAATTAAATTTCACATTATTTTGTGAATTATATTCATTTAATTAATATTAAAATAAATAGCCGGTATTAATTATAAAAATTAAAATATAAATACGGTATTATTTATTAAACTTAAAATATAAATTCGATATTAATTATGTAAATTGAATTAAAAATAGTCTATTCATTATAGAAATTAAAATAGAAATTTGGCATTAATTATAAAAGTTAAAATAGAAATCCCGTATTAATTATAAAAATTAAAGTAGAAATGCAGTAGTAATTATTAAAATTAAAATATAAATCTGTTGTTAATTATAAAAATTAAAATATAATTCGTTATTAATTATAAAAATTGATGTAAAAATAGATTATTAATTATAAAAATTAAAGTAGAAATCCGATGTAAAACCTTATACTTTTTTTCACCTGCAAATATTTTATATACTATTAAATTCCATCCTACCTATAATATCGCCAGAATCATTTGATGACGGTCTTGTTACTTTGTCTTAACAAATTTTAATGTCTTAATTAGTTGCAATTGACTGTCTGTTTTTGATAGTCCAACTCTCGCCATATTGCCAGAGTATTGTAATATTAAAAGATTTCTCTTGGAGCACGTAATCTAATTATGGCTGTTAAAATAGACCTATTCCAATAAAAGATAGGAAAATGGAGGGAAACTGTATAATTATCATAAATGGAAATTCGGAAAAGAAAAACATGAAGGAAAATAAATTTAGCCGGTTCTCGTTCTTCTCTTAAGAGGAAATAAAAACAGCTGTACCGCATGACAAAAAAAAACCCCAAGAAAACGGACTTCCCCACCGACGGTTAAAAAATACACTTATATTAATAATATGCCAATGGATAGATTATAAGCAAATCACTTTAAGACCTAACGAATCTAAGAATATACTCAAATCATTTGTAAACATCTATGCCGATAAGATGACTATATATCGGTTCACCTCTAAAATTCTTGATAATCAGAGATTGGCAGCTAATCTCTCTACCGATCTAGCACGAAAAACGCAGGCGGGGAGGGATTATCTGGTTACATTCAATGCATCGAAGACCAAACCAACCTAGCTACATTCCGGCATCGCCAATCGGAACCCGGAATACCGCCAGTTTCGATGAACGGATGTCCCCTCGGTGAGGCAACGTACCTTAATAGAATATTTGGGCCTTAAACACACACTTGACCTCAAGTGGAACTCGTACATACGGGCCATTGCTAAAGATGCAAGTAAAATGGTCATCTCCCTGTACCGCTTCAGTAAGTACCTGACTCCACGTGCTATCCACTACCTCTACAAGAGTCAGATCATGCCAACTAGAGTATTATTGTGATATTTGGACGGGAACTACACAGACCGCACACTCCAGCCTTGGTAGAGCCCAAATGAGTCTCCGAGTCCTTGTGGGTGACGAATTATTTTCCACCATTCAACCTCTCTCTCACAGGTGGCATGTGACAAGCCTCTCGCTGCTCTATCCCTACATACACAGAAAGTGCTCAGACGAACTACATTCCATGGTTCCACCAGTTCTAATCTTCACGACAAGAACCCGCCATGCGACTTACATTGTAATAAACCACCCACAATCCCTCTATATTCCAAGTTCCACTCGAACATCTTCTCCCATGAACTACTGCTCTGTGAAACAAACTCCCAGAAGGATGTTTCCCCGATTACTACAATCTTAACCTGTTCAAATCTAGGGTTAACTGTTATCTTCCTCTCCACAAATTGCCTCCTAACGTAACTCTCTACCTCGAGCGGTCCCCGGGCATTGTACAGGTTGAACCTTACTGTAAAAAAAAAACAGCAACTCATCCTGTTTACACAGAGAAGGCTGCACAGATTTATTAAATATGGTTTTCAAAACTTTCAAATGAAAGTCCGAATACGAAGTATCCTAATCGGAAGGAGACAGCGAATGGTTAAGTGATGGCAATCCGCCATTTTTTTTTTTTTTTTTTTTTTTGAAAAGTGGAACGGACGTTGTGCGTGGTCCTAATCAAGCTATTCATTTCGTTAATACTTGATACATTTTTAAAGCTGGATACAGTGGCGGATTGGGTAGGGTGTCAGCTTGCTCGATGGCGAGTGGGCATCTGGTGGAGTAGACACCCTTTATCAAATAAAAAAGCCATAAAGAAACAAACTAAACTAGTAATAAAAAAAGTATAATAACTTCATGTAGTCATCTACACACTATCAATTACTTAACTTCTATGTGAGAGGACATTTTCAAAGCTGAAGATCAAAAGATTAAAAGGAAAAAATAAAACAAAAAATAGAAAGTAGATTTATTTATGTAAAAATTTTTAGCTATAAAAATTAATTATCTTTTCGTGTAAATGTGGTAACCTCAACTTTTTTCAATTTTGGGAAAAGAAAGTAAAAAATAAACAAACGCTGCACGATTCCTTCCCCTCCTCCTGCCACGTAGGCCCAAATTAGGAAATCGTTTTCTGTTTTTTTTTTGGGGGGGGGGGTTTACAGTGAGCTTTACCTTGTACAAGGCCTGGGAGCCACTCGATGTAGAGTTACAGAGTAATGGGGACGGAATAAGAGGGATAAATTATGTGGGAAAGATAAAGGTTAACCTAAGACGAGGGAGAGGGGTGGGGATTGGGGAGAGTGGAATGGGTGGGGAGAATACTAGCGCGAGAAAGGGAATGATAGAAGAGGTAGAGGGAGAAAAAAAATGAGTGAAAAAAAGAGGGAGGCAGATATAGCGAGAAAAAGAGAGGGAGAGGAGAAAAAATTAGCGAGAGAAAGAAAATCAATGAACAGAAGAAAAAATCAAAAAATTAAGAAAAAAAAAGAAAATGCAATAAATTTATAAAAAAAAATGAAAATTACAGAAATACAAAAATGAATGCGAAATATTATAAGGATGAACAAGAGAGAAAAGAAAAAGAAAAAAAAAACATATCTCTCTCTAGCATTCTCCCTCTCTCTCTACCTCAGTTTGAGAGAGAGGGAGAATGCTAGAGAGAGACATGGAATGTTAGAGAGATAGAGAGAGGGGAAGAGAGAGATAGAATTAGAGAAATAGATAGAGAGTGAATAATAGATAAGAAAAAGGAGAGAGAAAAAAATTAGTGAAAGAAAAAAAGTGCGAAAAAGCTATGAGCTGCAGAAGAGAAAAAAAAGAAAGCAAAGAAATTAAGAAAATAAATGCAATAAAATTATGAAAAAAATATAAGATTAAAAAATAGAGAAATACAAATAAAAATCGAAAAGAAAAAACTAAGTGAGAGAGAATCGGGAGATGAAATTATAAGACTAGCAAGGGAGAGAACTGCGTTGGTAAAATATTAAGACAGCGATCACCGTACATCTGATTAACGGATCCAAATGTTCTTATTTTACCAAATGTAAAGAGAAATCATTTTGTCAGTTGAATCTGAAGCAGACGCCATTAAGAAACAATTCTGTCGTAATGGCCTTCCTCGGGAACCAGACAAACTGATTACGGTGGATATGGCGGAGAGGATCGATGGTGGGTCACGTCAAACTATATCCGATCACAACCATTTTTCTGTTCCCTGTTTTAATGGATTCGCAATTGGAAAGACGGATTAAATCTGATTCACAAAAACACAACCACTGGCATTTCTCCAAATTTAGTTTAAAGATAAAATGGTGGAACATTTTGCAAATATTAATCCAGCTAATTTCCTTCAGCCAAGAAAAATCATTAAAATTTATAATGCTGATTAAACTCAAGGGCCGATTCCCCCAGAAGAGACACGTCGTTCGAAAGGACAACCGAATGCTGACAGTTTCCTTTTATAAGGAACTTTCCTGCCATAACAGCTCTCATGGAGACCACTTTAAGAGATACAGGGAAGTCTTGAAATTCAAATTTCTAGCAGGAAATCGATTCGAGTACCGAAAGATGCACCACATTGGTGTCAGCTGATTTTCGTGTCACCGCACCGACTAGCTTCAAAAGAGCCCAAAATCATCAAAAAAGGTGGTTTTCATCTGCTGGTGCTGTCAGCTTTGGTATCACTCACAGATATGATTGGTCTCCCATATTGGATTGCTTTCACACCTTCTATCATCATTGTGCAAAGAAACAGCTCCATCGGCTCCAATGCCATAGTTCCTTGTCAACTAAATACAATTATATACCTGTAATGAAAAAAAGAAACACATTCATATATTGGATATATATAGAGAACTACTACTCTATCCCGTAGGTTAACTTACTACATGTCTGTTCAAAATGGAATTTGGACCTATATTAATGATTATAAACGCCGACATTTCCCTTAGTATACTGCGAATACTCGTCCAAATATACCTCCACGGAATTCGAACCGGAAAGGCTAACGACGTGAATAAAACATTCTTGGCCAGGAAATCTGAGTTCGCTTGGAATATGTGAAAGGAAATAGAGTTCTGTTTTAACAAGTATAGATTCTTGATCCAGAGTTTGACTACTGTATAGGAACTCGAGGTAGGCAATCCAACAACACAAGTCATCGTCAATTATAAGCAAATATATACTTGTATTTCCTTCTATGAACAAACACTAAAATCATATATTGGACATACAGCTATCACTCTATTCCGTAGATTAACTTATTACTTGTTTTTGCAAAGTGTAATTCGGGTCTATATTAATGAATAAACAAACGTTGATGAAATAGGTCAGAGAATAAAAGCCGAATCTGTTGAAGCTAATACAAAGACAATAGTAGATGAAATAACCATTCTTTACAACGGACGTTATCAGAAGAGCACCTGTGAACGCATCACCCATTGAACATTAAATCAGATGGGCTACAGCAGTAGATGATCAACGCAGGTGCAATGCCTGTCAGGTAAGAACAAGAAACCGGGGGCTACAATTCAATGAGGATGAAAAATTGGACAATAAAAGATTTGAAAAGCGTTGCCGAGTCTAAAGTATCTCAATTTTTGCTGAGACATTTTTATGGTAAAATCAGAATCTGTCATAAATTCTAGTTTGTGTGGATCCATCCTGTCTTTTACCAGCGGAATAGACTGCCAGTGGCGGTGTGGAGAACATTTTCTTGGTAAATATTAGTCCTCCTGATTCCAATAAAAAATCGTTGAAACGCATCTACCTACCTAGAACCCTTGGATGACTGCATACCGCGATTTAGGACTACGATGCACCTATTCTCTGGTAGTCACGTCTCTTCTCTACCTTTTGCCAGGATCAAAGCTTGGTATACGTTCTCTTCATTTTAGAAGAGGGACAACCTTGCACCTTCCCCGCACAAAGAGAGGTGTGATATCGATGCCTGCGTGACAATGGTCGCGGGTACTGAGCAATTTTTGTCTTTGCCCCATATGTAAATATATGGGGTCTCCACATAAAAAAGGCCTTGTGTCACATTCTATTTTAGTTGGGCAGTCTAGTAAATAAAATCGCTTATCAGCGTTCGGGCCGAAATAAAAGTGTAGTATCTGTTCGTCTCGTTTTAGATGAAGGTGTTTGGTCCCAGTTGATTCCAACCCTATGATAGCTTCTTAATGTCAGGTAATTAAAATCCTCTGGTGGCAACAACTAAAATAGTCGGGGGTTTGTTCATGTACAAAATTTGGCTCTATAATTACCGGTTCTCAATCCCATAATGCATGAGAGCCAAGTAATCTAGAATTTCAAGATGGCATTATAACAATGTGGACCAAATTTCTAAAGAGTGCTTGTAGAATATCGTTGAATACAGACCAAAAGGAACTGAGGCTGTTTGGGCAAAAAGGGAATGACCTGCTATTAGAAGTTTATACTTAAAGCGAGGGGTGAGTCCATGACAGTGAATGCTGGACAATCTCTCTGCGGATGAGGAGAAAACTGGAGGGAAAAGAATTGTGGTTCTACAGAAAGATAATGACAATTCTATCAACAGAACGAATAAGCAATAAGGAAATCTTAAAGAATATGGTAATAGAGAGGTCACTTATATTCAGAATCAGAGATAGTCAGTTAAAAGTTCTTGGATAGTATTACGAAGGAGAGTTGGAGAACTTTATCCTCACAGAGCATTTCAAAGACATTTTTTTTCTTCTGTTTTATCATTAACTCTCTCTCAGTAAATAAGGAATTACTTTTATAAATTTTCCATTAGCATTTGTTGGCATGAACTCCAAAACTAACCGGTCATTTCAAATATCTAATTAATACTTCGACGGCAGTAATATTTACAGAGTGCGACTGATAAATTGTCGTCTAAATTGTGTAAAAATGAAAAAACACTAACATCTCATTTTAACATATATTTACCAAAACTACACAAAAATATCTTGAAGAACTAAATTTATCCAATAAAATCGCCATTGGCTTCAACCACGTCTTCCAAACGACTTCGAAATCTCCTGCAACTCTTCTTGATGGTCTCCCTGTTTAAGTTAGTGAATGCTGGCATAATCCTTGCCTTCAGTTCATCTTTGGTGTTATAATGGGTTTTGTTGGTCTCTCGCTCAACTGCACCCGGGGTTGCAGTCTGATGAGTTAGGTGATGTTGCAGAAATTGTCTGGCATCCATGACTGGGTTCTCTTGCTTGTGTGTCATGGAGCAGAGTCCCGTTGCCAGATCTTCCTGCAGCCACCCACGACTCAGTGCAGCACTATCTCCTCAAAGCACTTGATGCAGGCCTCTGTGTTGAATCCGTCACCCTGTGGGAAGATGAATGGAGGCATAACTTCACTATCACTGGTGATCACTTCTAACACATTCATAATCACCATTAGACTCATCCAACTCCTTCCGAATCTTCTGCACTTGCCTCAGGTTGATATATAAGCACTGTGAAATGTTTGTATTGGAGCTTCCGACGTGAATGCCAAGCAGTACATTATGCCGTTTCCAAATTTCTGGCGGAACTAATTGCATCATGGTACTCTTTTTCTCACAGACGGTGCCCAACTGACCCTACTGTACAGTCGACAAAATAAAAAAACAACGTGCATGCGCGAAATTAATAATATAAAATGCAGCAATTTACCCAATGGACCCTGTATTTATTATAAAAATGTTTGAAGAACATTCACAAACAAAAGGCGCCGTGGAAACCTTTATCAGAAAATCCTTTTTCAACACGACGACGTCCCACTTCTTCCTCAAATCAGAGAAGTATTGCGAGGATTTTGATGAGACAGCTACCTTACAGTTCTATTTAGCACATTCTGAAGTTTCTTATTTCTCAAAAAAAATCTTTTTGGAGATACTTATTTTGAGACCATTAATGATGTAAAACGATTGCTTTGGCATGATTAAATTACCAAGGTTTCACTTCACTCAGAATTGTATAAATGTCTGACATCATCGCTTGAAAAAGTCATTTGATATTGATAAGAGCCTATGAGAAGAAAATAAGCTTATACTTGAATGTGATTGATTTTAATTCCATTTTTAAATGTCCCTCGTGGCGATATCTGTGGCTACCAGTCGATATGCATTAATATAGGCCCGAATTGCACTTTGGGCAGACAGGTGATAAGTTAACCTACAGAATATAGTAGTGGCTGTATATCCAACATATGAATTTCATGTTTGTTTATCGTAAGAGATTTTTTTAATCAGTTCACCCAAAGGAAGGCAATAAAGTTAATAAGACGCAAGGTGTTAATGAGTGTGAGAAAATATACGAAAAAAAAAACATTATTATGCAGAGAGAACAATAAAAGAACAGGAAATAAGAAGACAGAAGAAAACAGCTGATATTGCGTGTAAATTTTTGAAGATTAAAGTTGACTGAGAAGCTAGAAGCCGGGGGAGAGTTCTTCAAGCGAGAAGTGCGATAAAAGAACTTGTTAACATAGAACTTACGGTTACATCTAGCCATTTCAACAATAAAATGATGAGACCTTGCTGCCAATCTAGTACTTCGCTTACATTCATAAAATCTAGCTGCCATAGAAGAAAGACTAGACTGTTCTAGTTCCACGTGCCATGTCTAATGGTTGTCAGCTATCAGTTATCTCTTGTTAATTCACCTCTCCAAGATATGGCACGTGGAACTAGAACAGTCTACCTCAGCGAGCGAAATAAAGGGTTCAGTTCGACATTCCAACCACCTGAAGAAGGCCGGAGCGTACAACGGCCGAAACGTTGTGATAAATATGGCAACAAAGATGAGGACAATAGTCCGAATAATGTAAATAGTGTAAAATCAGAACTGCCTCAGCTGACAAGTCCCTTCTTCATTTGTGCTTGACTAACAAAATCTGTCCTTCTTTAATTATAAAGAATAAAATTATTTAGAATAAAAAGGGATAATTTACATCCAGGACAGAAAATTGAAGAGGTGTTATTTACCAACTTCATAACTAAGCTCTCTTATAGTCTTGCCGAATTGTATAAAAAATATTATTAATTAATGGGCTTACTTTCCTATTTTGATAGGATTCGTTTTGTCCGTTATGCTACACTTATTCTTGAGCGCAGTCGTTCTCGATTGGTGAGTAAACATCAGAATAAGTTGCATCATTTCATTTTGTTGTAGAGTAGTTTTCACAGTGGAGGCTTGTATTTTCACAAAGTCGATCCTAAAAGGGTTCGGCGTACAAAACGTTAGGAACTTGACATAATAGTTAATGACGCAGCAATCTAGTTGTGGTGGTTGATACTTTAAGGTCCGACATCGACTGACTCACCAACTCACTCTGAGCTCACTGGCGACTGCTACTACTACCACTTATTATATCTGGGAGAGTCTATTTACAGTAGAATAGGTATGTGCTAGTATAACACATTTATAAAAAAAATGGTTTTCTGCTAATCCTGGTATTGGTTAGAATGTTCAGAATCTTTCTTCATATCTCCCCCCACCCACAAATACATATTGTCCATCTCTTTTTAGTGATAATTCTATTATAATTTATTAACCTGGATTTGCTAGCCCGTTTTTCAGTTTTACTTTTTATCTATTATCATCATGATTTGTAATAAAAATAAATTTTGTCTTTTTTTATGGCGGTAATAATAAAGAAATCCATTTTCCCAGGAACACATGATTGTCCCACTTAGTTTTGTCAAACACCGTTAGGCGGCGCTGGTTAAGTCTTTAAAAAGACAGACGTTTTCATTCCTGTTTCGCTTTCAACCTTCTTGGTCTGAGATGTAGCACTACGTGGTAATTATGGTCCCACTGACGACTGAAATCTCTGTCCAAAGCATGGCGTTCGCACGTGTCTTTCGAAAACCTCCACCTATAAAGTAAACCAAGCTTTCTTTTTGGTTGTTCCAACTCAGCGCAAGGCTGACTTGAGCGCAACCATTGTAACGATGCTTACACTTATTTAACCTATCTTCTGGGCCCCCATCAAAAGAAAGCGGACATACCCAAGAGACATTGAGAACTTTGATTCACTAAAGTTTCCATAAAAATGAATAAACGGCCTATAGTATAAACTCAAGTTTTTGAATGCTTCTTCTTTAATTATTTATTATATGACCCCCCCCCATAAAATACACACAAAAACGCAACCATTTAAATTTCATAGTCCTGCT